AAGCCACCTCAGTATGGATTTTTCTTAAACACATTGAATGTTGTTTCAGAAGGAGCTAAATTAAGAGAAAGCAGCAGTTTATTTAAATTGCTGTATACTTGCTTTACTGACCTTTCTTTAGATTGCTGTATGTGTTATGTACAGTGTAAAAAAAAAAATATATATAAAAATTAAACTTTAACCACATTTATCTGGTGGTCCGTTTGCTTTGTTTCTTGATGAACCACTTTCCAAAAAAACCCACCAAAACCCCCATTTGGCTGCTGTGTTTTTGCTGCAGAGAAGTTACTAAATGAAAACATCACACCAGGCTTTTCTTAGTAGTTCAGTGGGAGTAGCTTTAATACAAAAAGCTATGTACATTTGCCTTGTGAAGAGGTGACAGAGGCTGGAGCCTATCCCCTCCCTGCTGGAACCATCAGCCCGCAGAACTGTAACACATTATAAGTTTTCACAGTGCTAAAGCCAGTTCAGGTGTGTCGTACCTGTTTGCAGAAAGGTGGTTTCTTTCTTCAGCTGATGCTTTATATTACAGTGATAGACATTTGACTTCTGCATTACTCATAAATAATTCCAGTGCATTGACACCGACTTAAAAGCTGTTGCTATTCACTGTGTATTACACTGATGGTCAAACGAGCCACATAACTGTGCAAAACCTGCAAGGCCACTATACATACATATGTACATCTAATAATTTAAGTGTTAGGAATGTATCTCATTTGCTTATTCCCATTGCACGTTCTCCTTCCGAAGCTTTAATCTTCTGCCCTGCTGTCTTACCAGCTGTTTGTCGGTGGTTTAATATTGCATTCCAAATTCTGCAGAGAAGACCCCCCCTGTACGAAGAAGAATGGAGCACAGTTAGGGGAAGACTTCCTCATCTCCGTTACTTTAACATCAGCAAGAAGTAACCTCTAGAAATCCCAGGAATATCTGAGCTAGAACAGCACACAGCAAACACTCCGCTGCTTTAAGGTTATGGCTGAAACAACTTCCAGGTCAGCCAGGCCTTAACAGAATGATGATGAAAGGACTTGAATCAAGTTCTTCACAGCTGTTTTCCATATGATTACATCGTCCTGCATGGTGCAGAAATAGTTTCCAGCCTTGATAAATGACAAAACTTGGGTGGTTCAAAGCACCTGAGATGTTAGGCTGAGTCAGTTAAGGTGTGAAAAACTCTGAACAGAAAATCCCAAGTTGAAATTCATAGCCGTTGCTGCTAAACTGCCACTGACCTACTTGAATTACCTAACCTCTAAAAAGTTCTTTTTATAAATTACTTTAATTAAACTCTAAACAAAGAACTAAGAAGTACTTTCTTACCGCAGTTGAAGATACCGCAGATCATCTTTAGTGATATCGTTAAGGACAGCACTTAGTGTATAATCTTCTTCAGCGAACTAGAAGGCAAATTTATTCCTAAATTAATATTCCTGCTTTGAAACCAAACTGCTCATTATGACTATAATGACCTTTTTCTAAAAGGTGATTTTTTGGGGTTTAATTTATTTTTTTTTTTACCCTTTTAATGGCATCCGAGTCTGCTCCTTGTTGTTTCAGCCAGTTCCTCAGCTCAGGGTCTGCATTCTCTCCAAAAGTTGCTGCAGACCTTTGGGAGTCTTTAAAAGAAAACAAAAGTATAGGCTGATAACCTCGAAACTAGGGCAGGAGTGATGCTTTTCAAGCTACTGAAGCATAAAATAGTCTATCAAGTTACCCTGAGCCAAATCAAATAAACACACAATCCAATATATTTGTGTGCAGCTGTCAAAGTATGCAGTATCTCCTCATACCTTCATGTTTAAGTTTTAATCGAAGCAAGTGCAGCTCCTGAGTTTTCTGCTCCAAAGATTGTTGTAAGAGGGTCTGGTACTCTTTCTCCTTCTGAACTAGGTTTTCCAAAAGCCTGTCAGCGTATGAGAGAGATCAGACACAACCATACTGAGGATAAGTCCAGCTGAAAAAAATATTTATCATTTTTAACGACTACCAAAGGACAGAGACACTTAAGAGACACTCTCTAAGTAACACATTTTGTGGCTTACAGGTTTCCTTCTGGTTGTCTGAGACTCAGCGGTGGCACTTTAAGGCTTTGATCTTTGCAGAATTTAGTAAAAAGCTTGTAAATTCTGTTCGTGTTGTTTTGCAGCCTCCCTGGGGAGAGTTGCTGCCTTTATCCACTAATTTACACCTGAGCAGTGTAATAACCCTCGTGTTTTAGCAAGGACTTCCTGATCACAGATTTACATGACGTCCATGAAGAACAGTGGGCCCTTCAGGTGTCAGACAGGCTGGTAGCAGCCTGCGAATGTAACCCGGGAGAAACCGGAGAGGGGCTCTCCTGAGCTACCCTGGTGCTGATCCGCAGGCAGCCTGTCCCGGGGGCCAGGACGGAGCCGCTCCGGCCTCTCCTTGCAGGAGCAGCTTTGAGGGCACTGCCACAGGGCCGGGTGGTGTCCAAGGAACCCGGAGGAAACCAGCACAGCTTCACAAGCCTGATTACTGAACAGTAGCAATCCAACATGACGTTCTGCAATTAAAAAATTAATTACACAGAAAGGGAAGTTGAGCTGAAGGCTGTTGAGCTGTCATACTGGTGCTGCCAGTATACTCTGAACCTGTCTGTGTTCCTGGAAGGTCTGCTGTATCCTGCGGCAGTCATAGCAGGTGAGCAGTGTCTGTGTTACGCATGTACGCGGCACTGCAGAAAGCAGCGTCCAAGAGCTTTTCAAAGAGTGCCCGAAAACAGACCCACGTTCTTGACAGGAGCATTACCTTAAGGTCTCTTGTTTAAGTCTGCCCAACTCCAGGCTAAGCTGCTGCTGAGCCTCATGTGACACCACAGAGCTGAGGGTGCTGACTCCTGATGTGACGGCGGGATCCTCGGCCCCGTTTTGTTCTGTGGGCTGGTAGCTGTCCTCCGCTTCATCGCCGTCCTTGTCCCCCCCATCAGTTTCTGACGCTGGCTCAAAGTGAGCTCGAAGCTCTGGTAGAAGGAAACAGTGTAAGAATAAGAATTTTTGTGGACAAATGCAGTGCCACAGTTTGTTCTTTATTCCTGTGGGTGGGGGAGCTTCCGAAGAAGCGGGCTGTGTGCACAATGTGCTTCCATATGGAGCAGCGGAGCTGCAAGGCCTTGTGCGAGCTGGACCACAGGTCCCGGGGCATCGGTTTTAAGGTGAGCGGCACTGCAAGAGCTCAGCTGTAGCGTACCGGGAGGTAGGTAGCTGTAGGTTACAGCTGTAGAGGTGACAAATACATTTGTGATGAAAAGAATTATAAAAGTAGTGATTAAAATATTACTAATGAGAAACCCTTGGAAAGGTTGCGCTTTTTTAAAAATGTTGGGGGAAAAAAATAAGTTGCTTTGCCCTAATGCGCTGGACCAAAGAGTTTACGAAGCCTTTCTCTTTTCCGGGTAGCCTGTCTCACCCCAGCTCTGTCAGAATGTGCCGCAGGGGCCCCCCCTTCCCCCCAAAGACCAGCTGCCATTCTTCTCCTGCAAATGAAGGCCTGAAAAAGGTGGTGCATTTGGCTTGAAAGCCAGAGCAGCTTCGGAGTGCAAGGGCTCACTGTCACTAAGCGCTCTCTGAACATTCTCAGACTGGAAGGGGTGCTCAGCACTTCGAAGAGGTATAAAACTACTTGCAAATTTCCAACTTGGAGTTATTCCTAGTCAGTTCTTAGTCATTTATCTTCCTCCTTTGTGGTGGTGGTGATTTTTTCTACTGTCCATCTGTAGGCCAAAAAAAATCATGCTCCTCCTCGTATTAATGCACTCCCTTCTCTGCAGCTGTTCCACAGCACAGCTATCATTTGTCAGAACACATGACCAGACCTGTGCAGCATTACCCACCTTGGATTTCATTAAAATGTTGTGCAGACTCATTTTCTTTCATACTAGAAAAGCTCCACCTTGGACTGAATTTAATTTGCCTTTTTTTGTCGCGGTTGAACCACACTGGTGGTGCAGAACCACGAGATATCTCCTCATTACGTGCTTTTGTACTGCAGGTACTGCGTTAATCCTCCCAATCAACACTTCTTTCTGTACAACCTTCTGAGCCTGTGCCTTTGATGCAGTGGCACAGGGGATGCAGTTAACTGTGTGCTGACAGATTAAACAGTTGAGCTGTTCCATTTGCTACAATGCTTTGACAGCGAGCAGCTGCCTTTTTTAAAAAAGAAAAAAAAGATTATTTTCAGCTGCTTTGATTTACCTGGAATAAGAATAGTGACTGCTGCTTGGACTGCTCGGCGAATGATGTTATCCATTGCAAACATCCAGTGGGGCCTTATTAAATGGTTTCTTAATACTTTATTCACCTATAAATAAACAAGTAAGTAAAAGTAGCAACATACACCATTTGCTTACACCTTAGGAAAGAGAATCCTGTTTTTCACTAGTCAGAAGAAGTTTTACAAACCAACAACTGCGTGAGTCACTGAAACCCTCCCACCTTGGACTGGAGAGTTTGAGGCTGGAGGGCTCCAGCCGTAGCCAGACTGGCACTGCAGCCCCGCTACAGCACGAGGAGAGGCAGGACAGAAATAAACGTGGGATCCAGAGCAGACGGAGCTTTCGGTGAGCTCGTAGGCAGCCCTTCAACCACCACCACACATGCCCCCACCTTGGCTTCCAGGCCTGCCTGGGGGTGCCCACCTGCAGCTCACGGAGGGTCCAACACCTCAGGGCTCTGTGCCCAGCCCCGTGTGCCCCTCTGAAGAGCTTGGCCTGTGCCCGTGGCTACACCCCAGGCCTCCTCCTAGAGCAAGGGAACTTTCAACACCAGTGATCCACAGGTGACCAGGCAAAACCTGACCTTCAAACACCTTTAGCCTTTTGTTAGTCTTCCACAGGATCAGTCACCAGGGCTTTGCCTACTCCACACTGCCCACATCCTCCCACCTTCCCCGGCAAGCACAGGAGCTTCTGAGGAACCACGGCAAAAAACGGC